AGGTATCTTATGGTTCTTGGTGCTATAGTAAATGGAATCGATTCTCTAATTTCCCCTTTTTTTTTTAAAGATTTTATTTATTTATTTGACAGACAGAGATCACAGTAGGCAGAGAGGCAGGCAGAGAGAGATAGAGGAGGAAGCAGGCTCCCAGCTGAGCAGAGAGCCCGATGTGGGGCTTGATCCCAGGACTCTGGGATCATGACCGGACCTGAAGGCAGAGGCTTTAACCCACTGAGCCACCCAGGCGCCCCTCTAATTTCCCTTTCTGTATTTTCATTGTTAGTGTATAAGAAAGCCACTGATGTCTGTACATTGACTTTGTATCCTGCCATGTTGCTGAATTGTTGTATGAGTTCTAGTAGTTTGGGGGTGGAGTCTTTTGGGTTTTCCATATAAAGAATCATGTCATCTGCGAAGAGAGAGAGTTTGACTTCTTCCTTGCCAATTTGGATACCTTTTATTTCTCTTTGTTGTCTGATTGCTATTGCTAGGACTTCTAATACTATGTTGAACAAGAGTGGTGAGAGTGGGCATCCTTGTCGCGTTCCTGATCTCAACGGGAAGGCTGCAGGCTTTTTCCCATTGAGGATGATATTTGCTGTGGGTCTTTCATAGATAGATTTTATGAAGTTCAGGAATGTTCCCTCTATCCCTATACTTTGAAGCGTTTTAATCAGGAATGGATGCTGGATTTTGTTAAATGCCTTTTCTGCATCAATTGAGAGGACCATGTGGTTCTTCTCTCTTCTCCTGTTGATTTGTTCTATCACATTGATTGATTTGCAAATGTTGAACCATCCTTGTAGCTCTGGGATGAATCCCACCTGGTCATGGGAGATAATCTTTTTAATGTGCTATTGGATCCTGTTTGCTAGGATCTCTTCAATAGTTTTCTTATTTTACATTAGCTCATTACTCCTGTGTGGCATTTGTAATAATTTAAAATTTTATTTAATTCCATTTTTTTCCAAATGGATATCGAATTGTTCCTATTCTCTTGTTTGAATAATCTATCCTTTTCCCATCCTGTACTTGTACCACAGTCTATAAATCACTCTAAAGTTATAGTATGTTTTGTTGACAATATATTTTATTTCATGCAGGTGTATGAAAGAATTTAAAAGTTGCTTATTTAAGTTATTAATTAATAGCTTAATCCATATCTGTTTGCTAATCCAGAAAATAGTAATAATATGTGACAGCACACAGGCCATTGTCTGGTCCCATAGCAACTATTTTATTGTCATTCTTCCCTTCCTTCTTCACAACATTGTAAGTAGTAACTCTGCTAGGTAAAGGCCCATCAGATGAGTGATGTTTTACTTTGAAGATAATAAGTTCTGGAACTAATTTCCTTTTAGCTTTTAAAAAATGTGTGTGTATATGCATGTACATGTATACAAGAATCACTGTTTTATTCTCTGTCAGTTTCAGGAGACAAGTATTATCTTTAAATCTAAATGGGTGCAATTCATTAATGAAAAAATTACAGCATCTCTTTGCCTTTTTGGCTCATACACAGGTGAGTGTAAGTGTGTGTAGTATGTATATGTTAACTTCATTGATAATATTCTTTAAACTTCACATTATACCAAACTTGATGAATCTTGCTTAAATAATATGTATTTGACACAGCATAACAAATCCACTTAGATGTACTAGACATCCTGCCTAAAATCAGGATATGCTTTGAGTTTTTATTTCTTCCTCCTGTTTTCCATTCTTGTAGATGAATATTATGCTGACCCTTTCTTCTAATTATTATAGATAAAATCTGATTTCTTCTCTAATAAATAAGCCTCTTCATGAAGAAGTCTTTTTAAATGCATCTCTAATAGTTTATAGATACTAAATTGATAGATTTTTCATAATAATAAAATAATTTTGTGGCACATTGGCTTCTTTTTTCTCCTATTTCTAATATATGTACCTTCTCATTCTCATTATGACCAAAATTTTAAGCTCTAGAGCCTAATGGGTAAACAACTTTATCCATTAAGTTCTAAGGCTCAAGATTTAAGATGATCTTTTATGTCCACAATTAATCCAAGGAAATGAATTTATGCTACTGGCAAGAAAGTCACATATAGTAAACATTCATTCGAAAGACTTTTATTGATGGACATTGGGGGAGGATATGTGCTGTGATGAACACTGTGAATTGTGTAAGACTGATGAATCACAGACCTGTACCTCTGAAACAAATAATACTTTATGTTAATTAATTACTTAAATAAATAAAAGACATTTATTGAGAGACAATATGGAGTCTGGTAAGCATTCAAAGGGGAAGGCAATCCTTACGCTCAAGGAACTCAAGTTTTGAGCACTACATATGAACAATATATATATCATTTATAAATAATGTATACTCTTTTTTTCTGGTTTTACTCTGATTGTCTTACTTTTACTCTGTCTTACTCCTATAAAAGGAGTAGGTGGGAGAATCAGAAGAGAAGATCGCTTTAGTGGGATTGAGTTGATAAGAATGCTTTGTTTCCTATCTATAGGCTGTGAAATAGCTCAAGTATAACTCCTTAAATGGAAAAAATTAACTTTTGAGTGATGGCCTATAAGTAGTAGTATACTCAAATAATTTTATTGTTCTCTTTCTGAGGAAAATCTGTTCACAAATTAAATTTAATGTCTCAGGACCAAGGGAGATGAAATCTCTTCCCTCCAATTGCCAAACATTATTTTCCTAGTAAATTGATTTCTGTACTTGCTTTATCACTAGTCTGTATTTACCATATATTATATAAAATGTATATATATCTATGTGTGTAGAGGTAGCTATAAATACATTATATATACTGTATTACCTTTCTGAATCAGAGCTGTTAGAAAAAAAAACTATAGGAGGGTTCCATGCTCCCAAGGAAAAGAAGACAGGAATTCACCAGAGAACCTAATGAAAGTTCTGTCATAGTTGAGACCTTGTCTGGTAGCAAGCCAACAAGAATTTTTTTGAATTGATAGATTTCCCTATATAATTGAAAAGCCTTTATTTCTTATAACTGAGGAAGCTAACATTTATTAAGCATTTAAATTTGCCTAGCTTCTATCCTAAGTAGTTTACACGTATTATTTCTTAATCCTCAGAAACAATCTATGAAGTAATAAGATAGTAACCCCATTTTACAGATGAAAAAACTGGGTTTATAGTACCTGCTTTTCAGGGTCGTGCAGACAAGTGGCAAATTGGAGTATGATATGAACCAAATGACTGTAGAACTCATGCTCAACTAGTATGTTAAAGTTCCTTCCTTCAGAATGCTATCAACACCCCATTTTGATAAAAAATTTTTTCAACTGAGGACTCTGTTACATTCCACAAATATTCAAAATGTCAGAATTCTAAGTTTTCAGGTTTAAATCACATCTTTTCAGATGCCTTTTCAGTTACTTTTTGTTGTTGCAAAATCTAGGATTTGAACCAAGATTGCTTCAAAGTCAACGAGCAACCACTTCACTAAACCTCCCCCACACCAAAAAAGATCAGCAAGGACCCTAAACAGTGTACTTACATTCTGTGCATTTATGAAATGTGTACCTAGTCAAAGAAATTTTCACCTAAAGTAGATATGTGTGGCCGTATATGGTACTCCCCTTATTATTTTATCCAAAATATGTATTCATTAGCGTGTCTTTTTCAGATTTGGTTTTACAAAAAATTTGGATGCAAGCATATGACCATCATAGATAATGCCAGTAGCATTATATTAAGTGTTTGAGAGACCTGGATTCCCTCTGGCACTATTTTAACTGTAAAACTTTGGGCAAGTCACATGTTTCTCTAGATATTAATTCTTATCTGCAGAATGAGAAGTTATGACTGAAGATTACATAATTTATTTCTAATTTTATCTGTCCCCATTTCTGGGTCTTTGTAATAGTGTTAAGTGCAATATAATTTTAATTGATCTTTATTAAACATTGTATATTAAGACTTTAGTTATTTGATTAATGGTATGAGAATCACTTCCTTGTATTTTCTCTACTGATATCAAGAGAGAAGCATATGCACCTCGGGTATTCTTTGAGGCTTCTAGACCTCCATGGTTTACCCCCAGATCACAACAAGACTGTTCTGAATACCTCAGGTTTCTGCTAGACAGGTAAAAAGTATTCGAAAGTTATGATTTGAATTGTTTTCTTTCATAACAGATTATTTCTGTGGCATATTGTTTTTGCCTTTAAAAATGTATTTCAAATGTTAATCTTTAAAATACCTTGCATTTACTGTATATATTTAAGTGTTCTTTTGTTTTTAATTTGGTTTCTTTTTTTGATTTTCTTACTTTGGACCAGCTGTTCTTAGAGTGTGGTACAAAGACCCCCTATGGGTTCCAAAAACATTCTCAGGGGTCTTCCCTTTTCTAACTATATATCTGTGTATATGTAATTGAGCCAGATTTTCTTCATATGTTTCATCCAGAGCAACATATCACAATAGATTAAATGCAGAGCAGCTCTGAGGATCCAGCTGTCTTCTATTAAGCCAGATACTTGAAATATTTGCAAAATGTAAAACAATGCTATTCTTCTCACTAAATTTTGTGGTTTTAGAAAACATAACTTTTTCATAATGAATATTAACACATAATGGGTTTATTATTTTCAAATGTATTATTTTATTACTTTTATTCTCAGTTTTTGCATACAGTAAATATTGATGAGCATAACCACATGAATGAAAGCTGTTGAGTTCCTCAATTTTCCTCAATTACTTTTAAGAGTATAAAGGGATCTGGAGACCAAAAATTTAATAGTTGCTCCTTTAGATCAGTGCATAATTAGATGAGTTTGGTGTATTTTGTTCTATCCTTACCACTTAGTTAATAAAACCTCTATCTTCTTCTCCAGATCATTGCCTCCCTTCTATTACATGAATGACTAGTAAAGTTAGTTGAACTTAACATGTGCAATCAGCTAAGGACATGTTGAGTGGTTTCTTTGTACCAGGCTTTCTATGAGATGTCAGGCAGACAAGGATATAGAAGATAATTAGTAGACATATATCATTTACTATCATGTAATAAGTGCTATAAAATAGCAGTATGAAGAAAGAATGAGACTATAAGGTAGTGATAGCCCCTAACTTCTAATCTACATTCTCAAATTGTTCAGTATTCTTCTTGATTAAAAGAGGAAAAACTTGATTTTTTAAGTTAAGTATTATATTTGATAAAAAATAATTTGTCTGTTTATATAAGCCACCAATTTTTTAAAAGATTTTATTTATTTATTTATTTATTTGACGGACAGAGATCACAAGAAGGTAGAGAGGCAGGCGGTGGGTGGGGGAATTGGGGGAAGCAGGCTCCACACCAAGCAAAGAGCCCGATGTGGGGCTCAATCCCAGGACCCTGAGACCATGACCTGAGCTGAGGCAGAGGTTTAACCCACTGAGCCACCCAGGCGCCCCTAAGCCACCAATATTTTTAAATAGCAATGTGAAACATAAGTGAAGCAGCAATATAATTATATATACTCTCCTGCAGGCTACATGAAGAAGAAAAGATCTTGAAAGTTCAGTCTTCACACAAGCCATCTGAAAGTCTGGGGTGCAATGAAACTTCTTTACAGGAAGTAGCCAGTAAGGCAGCTGTACTAGCAGAGAGCCCTTGCACAAGTGATGGTGAGAAGACTTTAATAGAAAAAATGTTTGGAGGAAAACTACGAACTCACATATGTTGTTTGAACTGCAGGAGTACCTCACAAAAAGTGGAAGCCTTTACCGATCTTTCACTGGCCTTTTGTCCTTCCTCTTCTGTCGAAAACTTGTCTTTTCAAGATCCAGCATCATCACCCAGTACACAAGATGGTGGCCTAACGCAAGCCAGTGTACCTGGTCCTTCAGAAGAACCAGGAGTTTATAATCCAGCAACAGCTGCCTTTGCTTGTGACTCAGCTATGAATGAAAGAATGTTAGGCAGTCCTTCTGATGAGTTTTGCTGTACTGAAAACGCTTGTGTCCCCAGTGAATCTAGCACAATTCTTGTTAATAAAGATGTACCTCAGAACCCAGGAGGTGGAAGCACACCTTCAGTAACTGACTTACTAAATTATTTTTTGGCTCCAGAGATTCTTACTGGCGACAACCAGTATTATTGTGAAAACTGTGCCTCTTTGCAGAATGCTGAGAAAACTATGCAAATCACGGAGGAGCCTGAGTACCTTATTCTTACTCTCCTGAGATTTTCATATGATCAAAAGTATCATGTGAGAAGAAAGATTTTAGACAACGTGTCACTGCCACTGGTTTTGGAGTTGCCAGTTAAAAGAACTACTTCTTTCTCTTCATTGTCAGAAAGTTGGTCTATAGATGTTGACTTCACTGATATTAGTGAGAACCTAGCTAAAAAATTAAAGCCTTCTGGAACTGAAGAAACTTGCTGCTCCAGATTGGTGCCGTATCTATTAAGTTCTGTTGTTGTTCACTCTGGTATATCCTCTGAAAGTGGGCATTACTATTCTTATGCCAGAAACATCACAGGTACAGAGTCCTCATACCAGATGTGCCATCAGTCTGAAACTCTGGCATTAGCATCCTCCCAGAGTCATTTCCTAGAGAGAAATAGCCCCAGTGCAGTTATTGAACAGGATTTAGAGAATAAGGAAATGTCAAAAGAATGGTTTTTATTTAATGACAGCAGAGTGACATTTACTTCATTTCAGTCAGTCCAGAAAATTACGAGTAGGTTTCCAAAGGACACAGCTTATGTGCTTTTGTATAAAAAACAGAATAGCACTAATGGTTTAAGTGGTAACAGTTCAACCAGTGGACTCTGGGTAAATGGAGACCCACCTCTACAGAAAGAACTTATGGATGCTATAACAAAAGACAATAAACTATATTTACAGGTAAGTTGGATATAGAAACTTAATCTGTGGAAAATATTTAAACAATTGGTTTAACAGTGGTTAAATGAGTACCCTAATTTTGAAATCCAACTTCTGCATTTTCAAGGAATTTACAGTGGCAATTCTGAAATTTGGGTCTGGGTTTATATAGAAATCAGCCTATATAAATTATCTTACTTTCTAATGTTATGAATTAGCTATGAAAAGTTGCAGTTAGATGCAATATAAAAGACCTCACTTGTTTTTAATTACAAAAGATGTGATCATTATACAGTCATTCAGTACAGAAATACAGGAAGCTTAGTAAAATGGAAGTATCTTCCCTCTCCTCTTTAATCCCACCTACCAGGGGAAACAGCTGCTGAATCTGGTGTTTATTTCATTCTACACTATTTGACAGGTATTTTAAGGGCACTTATTAACATTCAGGTGGATAAGATAAAGCACACTGAAAAGATAGAATATTTTAAAAAAACAAAAACAAAAACACATAATTGTATTCTTTAAGGACCTGAGCAATAAAACCAGAGAGCTAATAGAACAATTACTAAATAAAAGCCATGGAACAAAGGTTTCATATGACCTGAATTTACTTACAACTACACTTTTTGCAAGGAGTTAGTGATTTTATTATTTAAAAGTTAATAAAGATCTTGGCTGCAAGTATTTTTCTCTGAAACCTGCTAACTTGCTAATAGCATAAGGACTAACACTAAATTATCAGTGAAATTGTAGGTGTATTAACTGCGTAATTCAAGTGATTTTATGACTTTTATTCTAAAAATTTGGTGTTCGAAAATCACAAAGCTGTAAAATACAGATTAAGAGAAGAAATGGGTCATTAGAGTACTGATTTCTAGAACTAGATTTTTAGTACTGATTTTTCTCAAAAATTTTCAAATTTGCCATGTTATAAAATACTCAAATAATGATACATGATACATTATTAGTTTGGCAATGTCCTGGAGTAACAGAAAAATTTTATATTTTACAGAAAAAAATTAGAAACAATATTAAGCATGATTCACCACCAAAAATTCTAACATCCAGTCAGAAGGCTTATGATCAAGTTAACAGGATGTATTCAATCATATCCTTCTTGCTAGATATTACATAAGCACCAGATATTAATCGTCATGATTCTTGGAGATTAGAAGGAGGAGTAAGGGCAAGAGGGTTAGGTTGAAATAGAAATTTTCTGTGATATAAGATACAGAAAATAAGGCCCAGTATAATCTTGACTTGTGGAAGTATGAAGATTATATATCAATGATTGGGTAAAATAGTATCTTTATCCAAGGATAGAGACATAGATTTTAAAAAGATGAGGAACCTACTACTCTCTTTCTGTGATTGGATTGCTAAAAGCTCTTGTAACCATAACTGTTTCATTATAGCCTACCTCCAAATGATTTTCTCTGTCTTAACTATTTCCCCCATTACAGTATTTACAATATCTGGGTGTGATAAGCCATTCTTTTCATTATTGTTTTAAGGCCCATTGTCACTATAAAGGAAAGCATTATGTACTTTATTAATTCAGTTTTTCAGTGTCTGCAGTTGTTCTAAATTCCGTCTGAAGTCTTAGATTGGCAAGTTAATGTAATTTAAAAGATACTGCCAAATTTTATTTTTTTATTTCTTTTTCTGTTTCCTTTTTGCTTTATTTTTTTTCAACTGATTTATTTTATTTTATTTTTCAGTGTTCAAGATTCATTGTTTATGCACCACACCCAGTGCTCCATGCAATAAGTGCCCTCCTTAATACCTGCCACCAGGCTCACCTAATCCCCCATCCCTCTCCCCTCCAAAACCCTCAGTTTGTTTCTCAGAGTCCACAGTCTCTCATGGTTTGTCTCCCCCTCCGATTTCCCCCAACTCACTTCTCCTCTCCTCCCAATGTCTTCCGTGTTATTCCTTATGCTACATGAGTAAGTGAAACCATATAATTGACTCTCTCTGCTTGACTTACTTCATTCAGCATAATCTCCTCCAGTCCCATCCATGTGATACAAAAGTTGGGTATTCATCCTTTCTGATGAAGGCATAATATTCCATTGTATATATGGACCATATCTTCTTTATCCATTCATCCATTGAAGTGCATCTTAGTTCTTTCCACAGTTTGGCAACTCTGGCCATTGCTGCTGTGAACATTGGGGTACAGATGGCCCTTCTTTTCACTACATCAGTATCTTTGGGGTAAATACCCAGGAGTGCAATTGCAGGGTTATAGGGTAGCTCTATTTTTAATTTCTTAAGGAATCTCCACACTGTTTTCCAAAGTGGCTGCACCAATTTGCATTCCCACCAACAGTGTAAGAGGGCTCCCCTTTCTCTACATCCTCTCCAGCACTTGTTGTTTACTGTCTTGTTGATTTTGGGCCATTCTAACTGGTGCAAGGTGGTATCTCAATGTGGTTTTGATTTGAATCTCCCTGATGGCTAATGATGATGAACATTTTTTCATGTGTCTGTTAGCCATTCGTATGTCTTCTTTGGAGAAGTGTCTGTTCATGTCTTCTGCCCATTTTTTGATGTGATTATCTGTTTTGTATGTATTGAGTTTGAGGAGTTCTTTATAGATCTTGGATATCAGCCCTTTTGTCTGTAGTGTCATTTGTGAGTATCTTCTCCTATTCCTTGGGTTGCCTCTTTGTTTTGTTGACTCTTTCTTTGCTGTGCAGATGCTTTTGATCTTGGTGAAGTCCCAAAAGTTCATTTTTGCTTTTGTTTCCTTTGCCTTTGGAGACATGTCTTAAAAGAAGTTGCTGTGGCCGATGTCGAAGAGGCTACCGCCTGTGTTCTCCTCTAGGATTTTGATAGATTCCTGCCTCACTTTGAGGTCTTTTATCCATTTCGAGTTTATCTTTGTATATGGTGTAAGAGAATGGTCGAATTTCATTCTTCTATACATAGCTGTCCAATTTTCCCAGCACCATTTATTGAAGAGACTGTCTTTTTTCCACTGGATAATTTTTACTGCTTTGTCAAAGATTAGTTGACCATAGAGTTGCGGGTCCATATCTGGGCTCTCTACTCTGTTCTTCTGGTCTTTGTGTCTGTTTACATTAATATATTTATGATCCTGTATTAAGACAGGCTCCTAAAGCTTATTATCAAACTACCTTTTTAAAGCGAATTATGATAATAAATACTCAACTCTTAAAAATTTAAATACATTTATATTTTGTATTATTTACTTTTAAATACAATAATGTAATTGATTTATGATGAAATTTGAATTGTGATGGTTCACATATTATTTAACTGAATCATTCTGGTATTTTAAGTTAGTATTAAGAGACATATTTTTTTGAATATGGAGCATATATTTTTTCTTATTTTCATTTTTTTATATTTTTGAGGCATAGTTCAAAATTTTTGCTCATTTCATAATAATAATGCTTTAAAATAGATTGCTATGTCACGAATACAACTTTGGTTTTAAGATATAGCTTTATACCTATTTATAAAACAATTGCAAAAACTTAACTAAGTCTTAGTAAATGTAGAATGCAGAGTGAATATTTTGAGTTCCTTTGCTCTTGAGTAGTACTCCAAATGAATTTACCATCATAGTACATATCAGGGTAGCTACTTTCTTTTTTAATTCTTCATAATTACATTGAAAACTCATCTTGTATAATTTGGGGGGATTCTATTTTTAAACTTTACTAAAATCACATCTAGATTGACATGTGTTGGAGAAAAACTCTTGCTCTTTCTGGTGCTGATGAGACTAGTGATTTTGAAAAGTGGGCAAAAAATCCTATGTGACCAAACCATTTTCTGCTGTGTATCATACCTGACACATAGGATAGCAGTATCATAACTGTGTATCATAGCCTGACACATAGCAGTGCAGATGGTGGATCTCGAAGTAAATTTTGGGAAGGGCTTTTTCTTCTTTTATTTCTTTCCCTCTGATCCAACTTGCATAAAGAGTGTCTCTATTATTTTAGTGTCTGCACTCCAAAAATTATGCTTTTAGTTAGGATCCAGTGAGAAAAATGTTGTGTGAGTAGCACCAGCATCGCACTATGAAGTGATATCACCACTTATCTCCACGTGTCCCGTGTCAATTACAGACAGACCTTCTGTCCTTTATTTTTGGTTTCTTTCCTTTGTTTCTTTGGAGGAGGTGGTAGTTTAGTGTCTTAATATTTTTCTTTATCATACATACAGAAGAATATACATAATATATCTGTGTAGTTTGAAGAAAAATAAAAGATAGATTAATTTAATGTTAACATATTTACTTAAATGAGAGATCTAAATATTCTGCAAGTTATTTGTCCCAGAGCAACAGTAACTCCAGGCCTATAGTCCATTACTGAACTAAGAATTAATTTTAATACTTGACATAAATTTGGAATATAAAATAAACACTATGAGAACCATAATTTTTAGCATTCTACACAATGCTCTCACTGTACTAAAAGAAGTAAAATGAGAAGCAGTTTTCCCTGCTTCAGTCCATTAAGCTTCTGAAAACAGGATATATACATTTTTTTCTGTCAGCCATATATTTATATAAGTATATAAAAAGCAAAAAAAGAATATTCCTTTCTTAGGAAGCTGTTTTGAAATACAATATAGTTCTCATGCATCTCAGAAGCAATGGGGTTAAATTTGTATTGTGTGTGTCCTTTAACACTGCTTCTGGGGGGGAATTACTTTGTAACAAAATTTGGCCTATCTTTTGGGAGCAGAACTTCTTGAACTCTACCTTGCATATTCAGTTTTATTTATTTCATTAGGGAACATGATCTATATCTGAAACCAGATCTTAGATAGAGTCATTTTCATTGCTTGTTTGGATAGTTTAACAGGTTATAGAGCTAGAGCAATGAGGATTTTGTTTCTTATTTTTGTGTCTATTTCTTATATACGTACCTATAGCTTTTATTTTCTATCAGTAATATTGAAAATTTTAGTTTCTATTTTGATTCTTTCTTTAATTCTACAGACTAAAAAATAGATTTTGTCTTAAAAAACATACAAAGGAACCAGTACAGTAAATTAAAAAGTTTTTGAGAAGTATCTTACAAATTAAGTTTTAAAAGCCTCTCTAAATCCTCCCTGTGACTCGTTAATGAAGCCATTCTGTTACAAGAATTTCTTATCTAAGGTCACATAAATATAAATTATACATATAAGTACAAATAATATAATATATAACATATATAATATAAATATATATAAATTATAAATAAATAATTTTATATAATTATATAATTATAACATATTTATATAATATATAAATATATAATTTATAAATATAAGTTATAAATATATACATTCTATATTTATATTTATAAATCCTTAAAATATTTATAAATGAATTCTATAAATAAATAAAGTGTTCTAATCTGAAATCATTAATATTTGTTGAACACCTAATATGTGTCTGGCACATAGACCAGTACAACTGGTTCCTCATAAAAATTCTGATAATCTGGTAGGGAAAATGTTATAAGTAATACTGTAAGGTTCCATTTTCCTTAGCAATGTTATTGAAATTCTACCTTTATTTACTGAGAAATATTCTAAGGAAAGGGTAGTTAACATTCAGCCTTCTTTCATTATTTATACCTTTTACTGTATCACCCACATACAAAATAGCCCCACTACTTGATAAAGAGTAGATAATCCATTGTCATAACCTTTAAATATCTACATTCTGTGTATTAGAAAGGAAATCTGTTCCTATGTGTATTGTTGAGTATTTACAAGAACTATAGTATTCCTGTAGAGGAATTTTAGGATGTGGGGCTTCAGTTTCCTCTCCTGCAGACTGAAGTATTGAAACAGAACAGGCCATAGGGTTTGTCATTCTGAAGAGTTACACCAGGATTTTGTTCTCTGTCTTACTTGTTCCATCTGTGATTATGTACTTTACTTAGTAATATTTGGTAAGGATTAGTATAGTCAATATTTTTTAAATTACTGAGATTGATGGATGCTTATTAAGAATTAAGTCAGTTTTAAAATATTTATACATCCATTGTATTTAGGGTTTTAATTTTATAAAAATTCTTTTTAATTTTAGGAACAAGAGTTGAATGCTCGAGCCCGGGCCTTACAAGCTGCATCTGCCTCCTGTTCATTTCGGCCCAATGGATTTGATGACAATGACCCACCAGGAAGCTGTGGACCAACTGGTGGAGGGGGTGGAGGAGGATTTAATACAGTTGGCAGACTCGTATTTTGATCCTGAGAGAATCCAAAATGCACTGGTCACAAAACATCTAATACCATGACTGTTAACAAATATCATACCTATCTTTTATTTTTCTTTTCATTAGACCCTTATACTTTAAGAAAACACACTCAGTGCTTGTTTTGATTTTCTTGACAATACCTTTATTAACAAGTGCATCATGGGAAAAGAAAATCTACCTCTTAAAATTCCATTTTGCTTTAATGGTTAGACATGCTTGACCAAAAATTTTCAGAGGAAAATATGTACCCGGTCCCTAATTAAGCTGCATTAAATTTAGCAGAGGCATTTAAATGGTCTCATTCTCAGTTGTACTTAACAAAAAAATATGATTCATTTAGCATCTTTTATAAAAGAATTGATGCTACAAATAATGGAAATATTGTTTAAAAAGAAAGAAAAAATCCTTTATTTCATGCGTAGTACCCCATTATTCAAATCTTTTAAAATGCTAAAGATAATACAGTCTCTAATGAAGGCAATAACATAAAATTTATCAAGCTATAGTACTTTTCAGGTTTTTGTTTAGTGCTGTCTTCAGCATCACTGTATCTGCATTTCAAGTATAAATGTTTTCAAAAAGGATTATTTATACATATATGCTGAACTGATTTTAAGAAAGGTGCATGATCCTGTAGGAACAACATTTTTACCTAAAAATTGCTAACTTTGTAGTATTTCTAATTGTTTAAGGATTTTTAAATTCTATTTCAGGGAGTCTATCTTCTGTGTGTTTTGAAGAAGGTGAGTTCTGTATGTGCCTTGCAGTACTGTAATTAAAAAATAGGAATCTTTGGCTGCGGAAAAGTTTTTAAAAATGAAATGTTAGAAAGTAATTTTTTGTGCTAACATTAAAATTATAACTTTTTGAAAGATATTAGATATTCCTGAAGTAAAATCTGACGGTTCTAAATCAATAAGTATGATAGATTATTTTTAAATTATAGAAGAATTCAGAGGGAATGAACCTAGGCAAGTAAAAAAATCTTTTGATTTTGTTACTTAATCCTCTGATTATTAAACATCAATTGCATATTCTTAGAGTTGTACATTTGGGATTTTTTTTCATTTGAATCTTGTGCTTTGCACAGTTGTTTCTATTTCATAGTTTCATATAAAATGTTGAAACGTAAGACCCTACCATCCCACATTTTCTTTTACCAGAGAGTGAAAAACAAGTCAGTTCTCCTGGGTCTTGATTATATGTATTCTATAGTTATCCCAGTTTTCCCTTTCCCTAAAACTTATAACTTATCCATGGTTGTACATTGTTCTAAAATCTGTCTCATATTTATTTTGAAAACACTTAAAGGAAAGGGTGTTCTTTGGTGATTTGGAGTTTATCTTTTTCCCAACCTTTTAACGGTGATAGTTAAAAACAGAATTCCTCATCTTCATTCCACTGTATCCCACTCCTAACTTGTTTCCAGTCACCAGGAAAATTAGGAAAACTGATTGGATTAGAACTGGAAATTCTTTGCGAATTGATTGAGATTTGTCTTTTCTATAAATGAATGAAACACAAATTTTTATCACGCTGTCTTTTCCTGTGCACTTCCTCTTGTCTTAATAGTGTATTCCTGAGATACTCTATGTGTTCACTTATCCACTGGCTAATTAATGATTTATTATCAGATTATATCAGTGTTAGCATTTACTGAAATTGGTAAAGTTATTTAATACTTGGTACATTCATATTGGGCTCAGCTGCTCCTGGGAACTTTCTTAAAGACAGACCTACACGTGGTTTTATCTATGAATACCAAATCATTCAAGGATTTTGTCTGTCAAGGTGATACATACTGAGTTGTCAAAATGATAAAAAGATGGAATAATACTGGGACTATTCAGATGATAATTTCATACCAGTAGCAAAAACTTGAAATTAAGGATTTCCTTTTCAGATTAAAACTGTAATAACGTTAATCATTTGCTGAATTTAAAGTATTTATATCTATGTAAATGAACTTGAAACTTGAAATTGAAACCAGAATAACCAGAGGCTCCATTTCTTACATTCCTAACCCTTGTGCTTTCCTCTGCCTCTTGCAAATTTTATTAAGGTCTGATTCGGCCAGAATATTATTGCTGTTTCTCTTTAGTTCATTCCAAGGTAATCAGTTCAAATGAAGCTGCTCAGCGCTGCTTAAAAGAGCGCATTAGGCCACACCACCAACAAAAATGAAAAACCGGAAATCTAAGTCTGTTCCTTTCAAAGATCTTTATTGACACATTGAGAAAAATAGATTTTTTTCTTCAGAGAGATAGGCAAAGAAGAAAATGTATGTAATGTGGTCAGTCATGCAAGCCCTTATAATCCATTCACTAAGCAGGTGCCTATGCAGCTCTGCCTCATGACATTTACATAGCTCAAGTTGGAGAACGGAATCTAATTCATTCTTTGTTCAAGCTTCTTCCCACCACCTCTCTTCCAGCTGAATAATCAGAGAAAGGGCAGCATTGGACTTGAGATCCCTGACTTTTGTCTCCATACCTTAAGACTCCAGAAGAATCCTTTGGATGTAAAAATAAAGATTCCTCATGATGTGTAGAGGTATTGGGGATCCTTATAACAGGTTCAAAAAATCCTAGTATTAGCTGAAATCTAGAAAGAACAAAAAATATTCCAAAACTAAAGTTTTAAGCTGAAATCTGTAGTATTTCTTCTCAGTTAGTTCTATTCCCTTTATGGTCATGTTATTTACAAAAACAGTTGTCTTTTCATATACTACCCCTTTAAAAACTTCTGCTACCTTCTTATAAGAAGGGGTTGAATGCTTCTTATGTGTGTACCACAGTTGAAGAAAAACAAAATTGTCATAGTCTGTTCAGTACACAGATGTTAATGGAAATCACCATTTTAATGTTGTATACTTTGTTCCAGTTCTTAATTCTCAGTATATCTTTTTCCTGTGATTGTGCACTTCACATAATATACACTATACAAGGAGAGCTTTTTAAGTGACTGTTCAGAGAAAATAATACCATACCTTTATGTATAGTATCTTTTCTCATATGAATGCTATGCTTTCTATATCCTTTCATCTTTGGCTTTTTTCTAATGAGCTTAGATTTCTAAAACTATTGCTGAAGTAAAGAAGGATAAATCATTCACATTTTATAAAAGCATACGAAGAAGTGTTAACTGACTTCTATTAACAACTCAGTAATGTCGTCATCTGAGGGAGTAAGGCTAAACCTTGAATAATGTAATCTGAGAGCTTAAAGTGCAACAGCTAGCAAATTTAAATTAAAAATTATCTCAAGCTTAAAAAAATCTAAAATAAATGTTGCTCCATATATACAATTTTAAGCATTTACCAAACTATTATGTACCGTTATAGTATTAGCCTTTTTTGATGTTACTAACTTAATTTTCTTATAGAGTTCTTTATAGGAGTGAGTGAATCTCAGAATGAATGGAGGATTTAGAATAAACAGGGCTTTAAAAAAAATCTTATAAAGAAACTGCAGCTTCCCTTTATAAAAAGAAATCGCAATAGAACTAATTTTTAAAGAAATGAAATAAGGATTTTTATAAAATCAACAACCTGAGTTTTACAGATTCAAAGGGACTTGTTATGTAAAACTTTTAGCCCCAATGTTATATAACCAGTGTGGATTTGGCATTAAAAATAGAATCTAAGAAGTCAGCCAAGTGTGTTGCCAGCGCTCTTCAGTGTCAGTTATGGCCTGCAGTTGTTTTTCTCTTGATAGATCTCATGTTTTCACATTTTGCTTTGTGTGCTAGACACACACACATACACATAAACACGTACACATACACCTTGATTTCAGAGAGATGAAAAAGCCTTCCCTAGCTAGATCAGCAGTATTCAACTTTGCGTTCCTGTTAAAATCACTCAGAGAGTTTATAAAAATAATAGCATACCCAGGCCTCACCCCAGACCAGTTAAATTATGTGGGGACTGGGCATCAATGTTTTTTGAAGTTCCTCATGTGATTTTGATGTGCAGCACTGGTTGAGAACTTCTGGACTAGAAAAGGAGTTAGTTTTTTCCTAGGGCTTTTATCCAAGAGAACTAGCATATTGACTGTCTACCATGTGCAGGAGACTGGTTGATATTTATATGTGTTTTTTGCTCATAACTTTGCTTTCCCTAACCCCATTACAGATCAATAATTAAATTCTTATTAAGGAACTTGCTCAAAATCATGCAGCTAAAAAATAAAAAATTGAGATTTTTTAAAATCAAAATTGAAATTTTAACCTAAGTCTTAAGAACTCCAGAGTCAGTGTTCTAGTGGAAAGATAGTAACAAGTAGGAGAAAAATGTGAACTAAAAACTACACAAATTACATATTAATAAAGGCTTGGCAATAAATTTTTGAAATAAATTTTCTATAATGTTTCACTTCTCCTTGTGCCCTTAAATATGATTCCAAAAATAAGTAAATAAAGTGAGATCTGCTTTGTTAAAACCTGTCAGTAATTATCTAAATGGTTAAAACATGATTCTTAGCAAACTCGTTTGCTAGACCAGTTTAATTCTGCTTACCTGCCTAATTTCTTCCATTTTTCCCCTTCTGTCCTCCCTCAGTCCTACCGAATCTTCCATAGTTCTTATTCATTGTGTTCTTGCCATCTCTAGGCTTTTGTACATACAAGTCTCAGTAGAGCATACCATTCTCCTTAATCTACTTTCCCCTCCCTGCATTCTGTTCACTAATTCCTGCTCACCTTTTACTATGCTCAAGTGTTCTACTATACTCCCAAAATGATTAGTCTCCCATTTTATCCTGGATTGCATCTTACTGCTTCTGCTTGAAAAGGCCATGGCTTAGTAGTGGAATGAAATTAGTCCTAAAGTAAAGGCTGATTATGTACACACAATAAAGATTAAAAGCAGACCTTCAACAATCAAACTCATCTGTGAGTAATTTAATTGTATTACAAACTCCAATGCTTTTTAAAGGTGTAAATAAGCCTAGCATTTAAGAAGATAAAATTCCAGCATCTTTTAAAAACTTACCAGACATTCAAAGGAAAAAAATATATATCCGGGGTGGGGGGGATGGAGAGAATACAAACAGATTCAGAAATTATGAAAGGGAATTGACAAACTAGGAGTTTAAAAGAATGTAAAGAAAAACATGAACACAATGAAGAAAGGAGTGGGAAATTCAAGAAGTTCAACCCTAGCAGAATAACATGAAATCTCATGATGACATCATAATCAAATTACTTAAAAACAAGGACAAAGAAATTCTTTAAAGCAGCCAAAGAAAAAGAACACATTACACACAAAAAGTCAGCAAACTATATATGACCCTCAAGCCAAATCTATTCTGCCTCCAGGTTTTTCACAAAGTTTTATAGGAACACCGCCACAGCTACTTGTTTACCTATTGTCTGTGGCTATTTTCACACTACAAAGGCAGAGTTGAGTAGTTGTGACAGCCTATATGGCCCACAAATCCAAAAATATTTACTAGAACACTTTATTTAAAAAAAAAAAAAGTGACCCCTGATAAAAACAAAGAAAAACAGTCTTAAAAGAAAATATGCAAGCTAAAAGACAATGGAATGACTTAGATCTAAAAAGTGCAGAAGGAAAAAAAATTGTGAACCTGTGAATAATCACTGCATCATGAAAATGTCATTCAAAATGAAGATGAAATAGATATTTATAGACAAAAGCAAGAATTTTTCCTTGAAGATTTGCACTACATGATACGTTAAAAAAATTATTTGGGCTGACGGAAAATGATACCAGATGGAAACTTGGATCTACATAAATGAATGAAGAATACTGGGAATAGATTTGGCACCACTGACTCTATAGAATATCCAGGAATGGAGGAACGGCTTTGGCTCAAGACTCACACTGTGCCCATGAGCAGCAATTTAGATAT